TCGGCAGCAGCGATGGCATCAACGAGAGTTTGGACGTTTCGGCGCTTCAACTCTTGCTCAGCCCATCGTTGTAGACCACCCATAAAGTAGAGAAGCTGAGTCTTCTCCGGCATCTCGGTCACCTCTAGCATGAGTGAAGTGAACTGTTTGATGTACTCCTTGACTGACCCCGTATGCTTCAACCCACACAGCTTCTTTATGGCTACCTCTTCCGAATTTTCTGGATAGAATTGCTTCTTGAGGTCGCTCTTGAACTCGTCCCAGGTGTTGAGTTGGACAACACCCTTCTTGATGTCGGTCTCGCGCCTTCTCCACCAAAGGATGGCATCATCCCCCAAGTACATGGTAGCGGTGTTGATTTTTTATGCATCATCGTCCAAATGCATCGCGCCAAAGTACTTCTCGATGCTCCATATGAAGTTCTCAAACTCCTTAGCATCGCGCCTTCCGTTGTACTTTGGCGGTTCGGGGACCTTCAACCTAGGTCCATCCCGAACAGCGGCACCCCCGGCCATTGCCGACTTGCACAGCACCACGTCGGCGTGTAAGGACTCGATCTTCTCTTCCATCGAGCCGATCCTCTTTTCCATCGAGTCAATGGTGGACATGAGGAGATCCTTCATTTGGGCCATCTCTGCCCTAATATCTCCAACAACTTGACTGACCAAGGACTGAGTCTCCACCTTCGCCTCTTCAGTCCCGGACTCAAGACCCTTGACCATAGCCTCAACATCATCGTACTGTTCGTTGAGGTCATTAATGCTATCTCGGTGTTCCGAGATGGCCTGGACCATGCTAGCCATCTTCTCCTCAAGCAAGGTGGTGCGGCTAGCTTTCTTACTGGTGTTTCCCTCTTCCACAACGGACGCATGGGCATCGTCCTTTTGTGCCATACTCGTGACTCCCGCACTTAACTTCTAACAACAACTAGCACACAAACGCAACAGACCGCCCCTACGATCGACGTTGCTCTGATACCACGTGTCACGCGCTGACTAGTTCCCTTAGTCTTTTGCACGCGGCCTACTAGAGTCACCACCCGTTAGACTACTAGTCAAGGCTCCCAATTGCTTAGCAAAGCTAAATATTGATGTTGTTAGTTAAGTGTGGTTTGCTTGGAAAGCACAAGTGAGAATATATGAGAAAGATTTAAGGAAGAAGGCTTTTTATAAACGCTTGAGAGAATACAAGTGTCTGTACATGAGCAAGAATGGGTGGGAGGTTTCCTATTTATAGGCACCATCCCTTTCTAGAGTGTTCTAACCTAGATGCTTCCTAACCTCCTCAAATGGAGGGTTCTAGAGAACTCTATACACTTTCTGATTACATAGGCTTATGTACAATATTCTAGAACCATCTACAAAGTTCTAGCATCTCAAGTATGTTCAAGTTGTCCCTAGAGGCTTCTAGAGACCTCCGGATGCACCACGAACCTCTTCGTGCATTCTGGAAAGTTGTGGGCCTCATCTTCAAATTCTGGCTGCACCATCATCTTTATTGGGCCCAAAAACGGTGGGCCACCAAGTTTGGGCTCATTTGGAGTCCATTAAGCCCGGCCCATGGCCCATTATTGTGTTACTGTCATGAGCGTGTTCACTAGGGTAAATGGTAGGGAGCTAAATAAAGCTCTATAGGGGGATAGGTGTTCTGGCCTTGCTAGCCATGCACCAAGGGCATTCCCCCTGGCCACGATTATAACTTGCTGCCTTGTGGCCCTAGTGAAGGGTGGGAATGTGTGAGTCGTGACAAAGTGCTACCACTAACGTACGCGGATCTGCGACGCTGACTACTTGATATGCACATAACTTATCTTGACTTTTAATCAAGTACTTGTTCTTTGGAGCTTATGGCGGAGTAGATGACAGCAGAATGGAGCAGATAACTTATACTCACTAGGGCGTAGTGGACCAAATCAATCAAAAGTTAAGCTGATGGTTAAGATCCAAAACTATGTTTTATACCATATCATATATTTAGCAGGGCAGAGTAGGCTCAGCTAAAGAGATTTCAGCAAAGCAGAGCACACCACAACATATCAATAATATGGCCTAAACCGAATTATTACTTTTTCAAATTTGAAATTTTCTTAATCATCAATATGTATATTTTATTGGATCGGATATGGGATATGCATTGAATTTATGTGCAATAGATAAGAATTGAGCTACAGAATTGAGTTAAACTTGACACACATGTATGTTTTAAAGATTTGTATGTACATATTTAACTATGCAAAGTGTTATTCCAAGATAAATAAAATAAAAATGTCACAATTTGGTCAACCTCTATAATAAATCAAAGAAAAACTAAAATCCCTTCTTCTGTATTATATTTATTTTATTTCATGCACTTTGTTGTCCCAAAATATATGGGACATTGGACTTTTTTTAATTTTACTATTCATGTATTAGCTTTGACTATAATTTTTTTCCTAAAGTAATAAAAATATATTTTATTATAAAATATGTTGTTAGATAGATATTAATTTAAAGTTTCATAGTGTAACTTAAAAAATAATTTTCATTAATATTCAATTATATAACATAAAGTTAAACTAGTGCATTGACATAAGTATTATATTGATTGTATCAAATATTTTGAGACGGAGGGAGGAATTTTATTAGTTTATTTTTTTTCAGCCAGGGGTAGTCCAATTTTGATGGCTCCTTCCCTTGTTACTTTTTTAATACCAAAACCATCAAATCATTAATAAACTCTTAACTGTTTTCATTCACAGTATATATAGGTAGCAACTGCTATAAAGAGGTATTAAATAATGAATAATATAATATAATGTATGTTCTAAATTAGAGGATTTGATAGTGATTTATGGAAGGCAATTACCCCCAGAATTGACCGTGAATGACCTTGTAATCATTAAGCAATTGCCAAGTGTCAACTGTTGATAACTTGTCTGCATTTGAGTCGCTTTTGAATGGATGTTAATTATAGTAGTACTGAATTTAGTTTGATATGACAACCCTATTTTGTACTTCGACTCCGTAACTTTTTATGGCGGTAGACAACCCATTTTTGTTTTGGCAACGAAAGATGAATTCAAGAAGCCAAAAACATATTATGATCTTTAATGTGTTTTTGGTATTTAATAGAGAGCAACAAGAACAGGGTCAAGATCTGAATCAAGAGGGAAATTATAATCACTTGAATTATCCCTCACACTCATACCAAAAAGATATTGCTCAATTCAAATAAAATTGGTCAACCTTTTTATTTATTTTTTTTGGTGTTTAGAGAGCCACAAGGGCGGGGGTAAGAATCGATCTCTGGATCTCCTGGAATCAAGAGGGAAACTCTAACCACTTGAGCTATCCCTCACTCTCTCGGTCAACCTTTTTATTTAGGTGTACATAATGTATAATTTAATTTATCTTGTTAAATTCAATTCATCTCAACGTGTATTTAAATTATCATAATAACTTTTTATCTGATTGAAATATAAACTTTCCAAACAATACATATAAGTGCTTTATATCGATGAAAGAAAGTAGTAGCTTAAGGAACTACCATACTTAGCTTATTGGTATATGCTTTTGGAGTGGAACTTATTTGGACTTGTGAAGCGAATTCTCTTTTAATAACGGGTGTGATACGCGTCCAATAAGACTTGACATTTTTGTGCTTTAAAGAGTAAGGACCTGTTCACTTCAGCTGTAATTAGTTCGGTTCAGTTCAGCTCCTAATTTCCTTTTGTCATAAAATATTCATTTTAACTCAATTTAGTTCACTTTAATTCAACTCCAATCAATTCAGCTCAATAAATGTGAACAAACCCTAAATGAGAGTGCCCTTGTTAAGTGGTGATCACAGGTGGCCATAGATAGATTGTTCAGTATTATTGAACTAGCAAGCCTTTAATTAAAGTACATTATTATTAGAAAATAAATGACCCTACTAATGCAAGCAAGCATTGGATTTAGTAGATAAACTGTTTGGCCTGTTCCGTAGCCTGTCATGTAGTGGCAATAAAAAGATCTTGTGATTATTCTCTTGATTTGCCTTGTTTGAGTGTATCATTTGTCGCCTTATAGACTTTCTAAAAACCAGTCCCCAGTTGGCCATTTTAGCCCTATATACTTTATGGCCCTATCCAAAGTATAATATTTGGCAGTATTTTAATTTTAATTTAAAGATTAATTTTTTTTAATTATTTAATTTAAAGATTAGAAGTAAAATTTGTAAATTACTTAAACATTCAATTGGAATGTCGGAATTTTATTATAATAATATTCCTAACAAGGTTGTGTGTAGGTTCTCAAAAAAAAAAAAAAAAAAAAAAAAAGGTTGTGTGTTTAAGCATGTAGATAATAAGTAATATTATTTAACTCCTTAAGAGAAAACTATCTTAACAACTTAAAGTATTGAGCATGGCGATGGCCAATTTTGGGCGTCATTGATCATTCCTTGCTGTTTTGTTTAGGTCCATGGTCTTGGGCGATAGAGCATATTAATTCTTATATCCTTGCTCATAAATCATCAACGGTTTAATCTGCTATTGTATTGATAATGGTGTAGAGTGGCAAGTTGAGACTTGTTCACATTTCATGCATGGCTAAACAAACCCAAAACTTGGCCTAGTCCCCTAGCTAGGTAATGGTGCTCGAATAGCTCCATCAATGTCTAATTCCAATGAGACTAGTTGACATTTATGTGTGATAGAGTATAAAACATATTCTTGGGCCTCAACCATCAGCTTAACTTTTTGGTTGAGTTGGTTCTCTAATTTGATATCGGAGCCAGCGTGACACAAAGGTCACGGATTCAAATCTCATCTGCCCCTCCTTCAAAGTAGTCCCTAATATCTGCTTCTTAATTTAAAAGTAGTAAGAAAAAAAAAAGTAATGTCAAAACTTTTAAGGTAAAACTAAGGAGGTAAGGCTATACCATTGTTGCAAGCAAGAAAGTTTATTAGGAGATTAATGCAAATAAAACTAATTAAAGAGAGATAAAATAAATATTAATTAATTTTATACTCATTTCAATTAGTCCATGATATTACAACAAGCTTGTTACAACTTACAATTCAACCAATCAACTCATATATATAATCAATATTTAAAATTAAAATTTACTATCAGAGAGAGAGATCTAAATTGAGATCAGGCAGCTCTGAAACTTCCTGCTGATCATAATAATTCTGCTTGTCTGCACCATCTTCAGCCTGAACATGGTTATCACTTATTTCTTGCGTTGAAACATAATACAGTGCTCCCTCATCTACCCGATAACTTCCGGGCCAATATTCATAACTCAAAGGATGACTATTCGAGAAGGCGGTACCGGGAAATGCAGCTTGAGCACCAATGATCTGCTGCTGCAACACAACACCGTGTGGCTGAACAAAGGAGTATGGCATCAAAGGCGGCATCGCGAGACTTGCCATCATCATCGTCTCTTGTTTCTGATGCTTGGCGTCTCGTCTCTCCTTCTTATGAGCGTTTTGATGGCCGCCTAAGGCTTGTGAGTTCAGAAATCTCCTACCACAATATTTGCAAAAACATATCTTAAAATTATGTGATTTTGGCCTAAGAGTGTTGTTGCATTTTTCTCCTTCCATATTTTTATTCTCACTAATAATTTAAGTATTAAGCTAAGCTATGATATGTTGATATAAAATGCGTCAAATATAAGATGTACTACGTACGTATAAATAAGCTGATGAAAATATTTCTGTAGCTGAATAACTATAGATACGTCATGAAACTCAACCAATCATGTACTTGTAAATAGTTATTGAGACTAGAGATAGGAAAAAGAAAACATTGTGCTATAGATTTAAATGTTTGGTATTTGTATCTAACATATGTACACAAAACTAACTTTGTTATAGATGCTTGAGTTTGAGTTAAAGTTTTAGAAATCTTCTCCATGTGATCGAGATTTTATAGACAAAATACTTTATATTAACACGATGTATGTTTTGTCCCTTAATGTTTGATACATACATTGGCAATTTAACTATCTTTTTAACTTTTTAAACCAAGCGTATATTTATATCCAATTGTTTTCGATCTCTTTATCTTATTTTCATCTAATTTTGTTGGATAGATGGCTCAAATATTGCACACATTGCATGAGCACATCCACTAATTTTAGTGAAGATGTGAAGTGCAATGACAAGAGGAAAAGGAAGAGTGTTTGGAAAATTTGAAAGGATAGGTAGATTTTGATAGCTTTATTTCATTATTTTTTGGTATTTTGGAGGAGTGATAGCTTAAAGTTATGTGTTTGGAAATTGATTTATCTAACATAGGATTTTTGCCTTTTTGGTGTGTGTGAGGTTTGGGGGCTGAATTGAAATCAGCAAGCTAAGAAGTAATTCCTTAACTAAGACGGCTAAGACCTATGTTTAAGCTTAGGGCATAATTGAAGTTGGATGAGAGTTCTTCCAAAAAAAAAAAAAAAGCATGAGAGTAATCGAGAAATAGATAGGAGAAAAACGAACATTGTGCTAATTTAAATGTTGTTTGGTCTTTGTATCTCACATATGTACATAAACACTAAATTTGTTAAAAATGCTTGAATTAAATTTTAGGGATTTTTTCATTTGATTGAGATTTTCTTGACAAAATACTTTGTATTGACACGACGTGTATGATGTATGTTTTGTCCATTAATATTTATGTATATATACGCTATTTGAATGTCTTTTAAACTTAAAGAACCGTATATTTATTTTCAAGTGTGTATTTTCTCTTTTATTTTTCATTTAATCTAATAATGCTAGATGTATGACTCTCTTTTATTTTTCATTTAATCTAATAATGTTAGATTTATGGCTCAGACCTCATACACATTACATAAACATATTCACTAATTTATGTGAAGAGGTGAAGTGTAATGACAAGGGGAGCAAGAAAAGTGTTAGGATTGGTAGATTTTGATAGCTTTAATTTATGTGCTTGGAACATCTGCAAATTAAACCTTGCTCTGATTCATCTAATTATTCTAATTTCTCTTTGAGATCGTTTTTCTTTTTCTTTTTTTTTTTATTTTAAATTTTATTAGTTGTGTCTTTTTCGGATGCTCTACGAAGGGCCTACCACCTAGGCGCCTAAGGTTCATACCCAACAAGGCCACAAGGAGTATACATAATCTTGAGTCTTAATGGAATGCCACTGGACCCCCACAACCAAAGCTAGGCCCAACGGAAAAGCATACGCTGCATACCCAACAAAAACACAAACAAACAAACCACTGCCAACTTGGCACATACACTCACTTTACCCTTTTTTTTTTTTTTTTTCTTTTTTTGTGTGTGTGTGTGATTTAACTATACCTTTAATGTCAAAACCATCTAATCAAAGTACAAATAGAAATTCAGAATCACTGTATTGAATTGAGCCAACTCTATCATTCGAACAAAAGAATGTTTACAAAGGCACAAAACCAACCCGACAAAGCTATTATGCAAAATAATTCCTCAATTCTTCTAATATTGCAATATAAGGAGGATACATGAATTTTAAGAAGAGGGAACTAGGGGAGAGATAAAGACTCACAGAGTTATTAAAATCGGAATTCTACTTTGAATCGTGAAGGATTTTCAGAATCAAATCGTAAAATAGAATTGGAGAATCGTAAGATTCTATCGACATGCATAATCAAGACGTTATATCTAATTTTAATTTAATTTATTTAATTTATGAGTTTGAAACTTATATTAATAGAAAATAGGTGTTTAGCCATCATACAACCAATAATTGACAACATATATTTATAAATAACAATATATGCTTAGCTTAAACTTGTAAGGATTTCGCTAGTTAAGAGAAATATATAAAATCAGGTAGAATCATAAATCGAATCGTATATTATACACGAAGCGTAAAATCGTAAGATTTTAAGATTTAAAATGGAATTTTAATAGAAGAGGAATTAAGATAGGGACACATGTGATGAATAGAGATAAAGAGAGAAAACATGTACAAATAAGAAAATATTGTAATATATTGTGAAACTTCTTTAAATAGTAATTGTTGCAATATTTGTATAACGGAATAAGTATTAGTACTGAATAATTTTTGTATACATCAAGTGTACAATAATTAACTGTACATCAATGGTCATTTTTTTTTTATCAAACTTAAGGTCAGTTTAACAAATTTTTGGGCAACTTTCATCAATGAAACATAAAGACTTCGTAACTTTTATTTATGTCAGGGTAACTTTTATTCAAATTAGGGTAACTTTTGCTCATTTTAGGAATAACTTTATAACGGATGTACACTCTTTATTGAATATCCGATTTATTTAAAAGTTTCTAGTCCTATAAAATTAAATAAAAGAAAAACATATAAACCAATAGACACTTGCCAAGTGTCATTGTTATTTTTAAACATGAAATCTTGTCCGTGTTTGAATTATTACATCTATATTAATGTTATATATGAAATTATGAATGATTATATTTCGGTGTAGCATCTTTCTCAACTTTGCTAAATAACTTTTTTTTTTTTTAATTATCTCCATACATTTCTTCTCTTATCGCACATTTAATAAGATATCTCTTGGATGTGGTTTTAAGAAAGTAGGTTTTAAACAATTAGAAGTGACAACTCACATACTTTGTCAAATATTACTTTTTTAGTTATTTTATTGTAATACTTCTCTTTTTATTCATGTTACTAAATAATTTCAACTGTTAATATCTCTAATATATAAATATTTGATATTATAAATAGTATATAAATTTGATTTTCACCTTAAATAGCATAAAGCTATATGAGTCTAATAACAAGATCTCACATAACTATAAATTTTTTCTTCGCTATAAATCACAATAGTAGTTAAAGTCAAGTAAGTAAATAGTGTAAAGTCAAGCTGCTGCAATTATAAAATAATGCAAGTAAAATAAATAAAGAAAGATAAAACTTCTAGAAGCATTATAAGATCAAATAAAACTTTTACCTAGGAAGTGAAAAATATTTTTAAAAGGATTCTTATACAATTAATTACCTCTTTTTTTTTTCGGGAATTAATTTACGTTTGTTAATTTCTTTTCTTTGGAGGTAAGCCATCTGACCCATCTCTTTTACTACTATAACAACAAAGTCGAAGTCCTAAAATGATTTGTTAAGATAATGGGCAATAAAAACAAAATCAATTATGACCAATATTAGCAGAACATGGGCCTGCTCTACAACAAATCTAAGTAGGATTAGAAAGATTCTTCACTAATTTTAGTAAACTCCCACAGTCCCACTATCACTTTCTCCACCCATCGGCCGCTTCTATAAAGAGTCTTTTTCTAACTTTTGTTCGTGTCCTTCTAGATTGCGTACGTCTCTGACTTCGACTTTCGTATACGACTATACGGGTACAAGTACAAATAAAGCCCACAACTTTTTTTTTTTCCCTTTCTTCTAGGGTGTACTTGGTAATCTCTTCGTATAAGGGTCTATTCAATTCAGCTTAATTTCAGTTCAATTTAACTCTAATCAGTTCATTTCACCTTTTAATTTCCTTTTCTCCTAAAATATTCATTTCAGCTCTAATCAGTTCAGTTCAGAATGTGAACATGCCTTAAAAGTCTAAAACTACATACTTAGCATATGAACTTGATTTTCACCTTAAAGGCTCAAATACTACTTCGTACATACTTTCTATGTTCTTTTTTACTTGACCTGTTTCTTTTATCACGCTTGCCAATGCAAAACTTTAACGGTCAATAACTCTAATTCTTCGTAATTAAAAAATATAAAAGTTATATATTATGATAGTACTTATTAAAACGAATTCAAAACAATCCAACATAAATATGTTTTTCCTTACATATTATTCACAAAACACGGTTAAAAGAGGGGTGGTGAATAGTATAAAAGTCAAAACGGGTCAAGTAAAAAAGAACGGATGAAGTATTAATTTGGCTAAAGCTAATGGTGAATAGTCCTGCCATTTAGAATTCCAACCACTAAAGTCTATAAAGAAAACTCGTTATAATTTGAAAAAGGAAAAAAAAATGAGTGTGTACATAAAAATAATTTTTATAAGATCTTACATACTCTCAACTTATACTTTGTACTCCATATACATTGCAAAATTTATTTATTTATTTTCTTTATTTTTTTTTTTTTTATTATTTATTTATTTATTTTTTTTTTTTTTTTTGTGTGTGTAAGTACATTACAATATGTTCATCATGCATTGTGCGTTGATATGGACATGGAATTCCAATATTTACAAATCATCACTCATAAAATAAAATTAATTTACAAACCTATACAGAGTACTATATTATCTACATTTGTCTTTAAGCTAAAAGTTGTACAAAATACTACACATCTTAATAAACAAGTTTAATTTTAAAAATCAAGCATAACTTGGGACTCGGGTGCAGGTATATTAGTATAGCATAAATGCATAATAATATTAATTAACATTATGCAAGTACTCCGTACTTCTTATCTCAAATATCTTTGAGGCCTCGAAGGCTGGAATAACATATAATAATGGTGAATATAATTGTATGTATTAATAAAGTATCCTATATATAGCTAGAACATTCGCCAAGTCGATAAAACTGTAGTACGTAATGCAAAGAGTGCGTGGGTGGGATCCAAGGATGTCAATAATGCAAAGATGCAAAGATGTCAATAATGTTGGAATCTTGGATGCTCTTCTTATGGGGGGCGAATGGATGATGGGATTGGCCTCTATATGACTATATTATTATTATTATACCGTGACTTGTGACCTAAGGGATGTAATTATTTGACCTTGTGGTTGTGTCGGCAGCCTTTCAGGTCTAGGGTGTATCGCCGTGATGTCGGTGGTGGAAGCCAAGGCCGAGGTGGGAAACTTGGGTTGTTCATTATTGGTCTTATGATCAGAGTAGCATTTGACGACCATCTAATAAGATAGATGTGACAAATAATTTTTGTTAGTTACGTTGTTGGGGAGGAATCTTATGCTACTTTTAGCAGTAAATGATTCACGAAAATTCTATTATAACATATGTAGGTTTAACACAAGTTTTTCAACAAAACTTGAAACATTATAGTATTTTCTACTGCAAATAAATTTAAGGATTTTTTTATAATGGAATGAAGACGACATTACATACTAATAACATACAATGTCATATAAGTTACTTTCAATTCTCCATTAAAGCTATATATCTAGCTAGTTCGGTAATATAATGAAACAAAAATACAGTATAAGGATTATGTATTTGTCCACGACTCCACGTACTCACAAATTTTAGTACTCATATAAGTCATGTATATCAATTACGAGTATAACCTAATAATCATGATATAGCTGCTTAGAGCTAGGGAGTGAGAATTATAGAATTGAGGAAATTTAACTTTATATTAAGGGGAGTATATTATATGTGTTTCAAGCTATAACAAAGTAGTTTTATTAGCCATAAACATTAACATCAAACTTTTATATCTCAAGTTCTCAACTATATGTGCGAAGTAAAGTGTAACGATATAATCATATATATATGAAATCACTCACTACCCTAATTTGTCTATAAAAATCTATAACATATTTTCGTGAAAATAGCTTCCTTTATTTCAAGTAGCCCCATCAAAGAAAAAAAAAGTTAGCTTTATATTTCACTCATGAATAAAATCTTTCCCTAAATAATGTAATATAAAGTTCAGGTGATATCCTTCGTATGTAGCAACTACATACAGATTCAAATCAATAATTAGTTATGAGCATGATGTTTCAAGTCGGCAATTAGATTAAAGGCCAATACTAATCATTATTCTAATTTCATCCTAATTATTATTTGTATTTTACACCTAAAATAACCTCCTTTTTATACACCAAAATCTAGCTAGTAGTGTTATTAGATTTTTATCTCACTAATGATTAGCTTAATTTGACCTAGCAAAGAGAATATTTTATAATAATCCAGCTATATATAAAAAATGTTGTTAGTGTTATGAATTTGTTAAATTTAGAATTAATCATGGAAGGTTTAAACGATCATGAGAACTTCATTACTACTCCTAGTAAAGAAGGTCTTAGCTTCAAGATATATTTATGCAAATACTGTGGGAGGGATTTTCTAAACCCACAGGCACTAGGTGGCCATCAAAATGCTCATAGGCTCGAAAGACGAGAATTGAGGCTTCATAAACAAGCTAAGGTTTTGAGGTTGATGATGGCCAATAATTTTGGACCGTCTATGATGCCTTACTACTTTGTTCAGCCCCATGGTGTTGAGCTGAACCAGACCTCAATCGCGGAAGGTAGCAGCTCTATCAGTAGCCATTCTCATAGTCACTGGCCAGGGAGTTATCGCCTAGGTGATGGAGCACAGAATTGTAATGATTCTGCCTCAATTATCACCAAACATGTTATGATTAATGCTAGAGTAGAAGATGGTGGTGCAGGTCAAGAGCTGCTGGTTGAGGATGGAGGTGCACCTGCTCAACCCGGGTTGCGGTTAGAGCTGCCTGACCTCAACCTAGACTGTACGCCTTTGTGAAACCCATCATAATCTTTGTTCTTGCAACATATATGCATCGCCTATAGTCTAATGTCTTATTATGCAATGCAGGAATTGAATTGTATGTTGACTTTATTATTTTCAAAAGAAGTAACTTGAAACTCTCTTATATTAGCTCTCTCTCTTTTGCTCCTTCACAAATCCTAACGCTATGTTTGGATAGAGAGAAATGGAGGGAAGGAAGAAAAGAAAAATGGAGGGATGCATCCTCGTTTGGATATCTAATGTAAGGAGGGAAGGGGAGGGAATTGGAGGGATCCATCCTTCCACTTTTAATCCCTCTATTGTTAGAGAGATTTGGAAGGAAAATCGAAGGTCTCCTTCTCCTTCTCCCTCACCTCTCTTTCCCTTCACTATTGTTATTCAAACATAGAGTAAAAGAGTAGAAGCCATCTCCAGTACATACTAGTCTTAGGGCGTGCCCCAGTTTCTCTTCTTGATAAACAAGAAGTGTATCTCTTATGGCATTTTTGTAATTAAAATGCATTGGGAATTGTAAAGTAATGCTATTATAATCAGAACAAGTGCTAACTGTACATCCACTATACTTGCTGACTTGGACTAATCTAGACGCCGTCAAATGGTGAAATTAACGGCACAATTATCCGCCGACTTCCTCAACAACAGGGTTTCCTCCAATTCGACAGCCGCTACAACAACAACACGCTATTCTTCTTCTTCCTCCTTTTCTCACATCAGCCATTAAAGGAGTTCAAGCTTTCATCCTCACCCATCCCCACCAACACCACCATTCTGGCGGCTTCGCCGCCAAATAAAACGAAAACCCTTAGATAAATGGGAGAAAAAAAGGGCGAGATCAACCCAAAAGGGTAAGGGTATCATCTTCCGCCATTGAAGTAGCCTTTGAGCTTCTGAAACTCCAATGAAGTGGATCTTCGGATTTTGGGTGTTCTTCACAGAATATACAGAGTATATACTTCAGATTTTCAGCTATTGTGCTCGTAAAACACCACCACTCGCTGCCCAAATTGGGTAAATTGAGTAGGTAATTCTACCTGGGTAAAGTTTCACTGGTTCGTTGAAGTTTTTAGCGTTCCTCCGTCAAAATTGAGACTTAACGATAATTCAATGCAAAGTTAGTGAGTCAAACAAAAAAGTCTCATTTACCCTCACACTCTTGCAAAAATGTACGAAATTACCCTCTTGAGAAACACTCCTTGTTTAGCAAGAAGAGAAACTTGGAATTACCCCTAGTCTTATGAGGTTTTTTTAGAGAATTGGAGACATCTCATTTAGTTGCATACCTCTCCATCTCCCATCAATAAATGAAGCCGAATTCTTCCCTAATATTAAAAAACACTAACCTTGCGGTGGCTAGGTAAGGGAGGGTTATATACTCAATTTGGATTGATTATTTCATCAAACTTAGTTATATATGGTTTAGATAGGAACGAAGACAGACTTAATTTGTAACTAAATGTTAGTTGTGTAATCTTTGACTTTGATATATAGATCTGAAACAAAAACAAATTCATGGTAACTGATCTTTCATGTGACAGTAGAAGTAGAACCCTCGTACGATTTATGATAAAATTACTCGTATGGAACTGCCCATCAAATTAATGTACTTCCCAATTCTATGCTTGTATAATAAATCTAGCAGACCCAGCAAACTTCCCAGATAATGAGATAAACCCTGAAAAAAACTTAATTTAGATATATTTAGGATAATTTCATTAAATATTATAAGAAACCTAATTTGATTTGATCAATTCAAGTGAAACCCTAATTTATATATGATGACACTGGTATTATATTATATAATCCATAGTTTTATAGCTTTGACGATCAAAATAAAACTAATTATAATTTCATGGTTCAGCCAATGTCGTTAAGAACACTATATATTTAATTAATTCTAAACTAAAAGAAAGAAATTTGCTATCCAACAAATCAGTGCAAATTTGGCACTGGGAATTTGTTATTGGACTTAAAACTTGTGTCAATGTTACAATTAAACAATAAGTAAAATTACATGATAATAACTAAAATCAAATGGCAATTAGCATTTTCGCAAAATAATGAAGTACTCCGTACATAGGACATAGAAAGGTTACCCAGAAAATCAAGAAGTGATGAACAGAAGATAGAGCGTTTGCAGATGGTCTCATTCCCATTGCTGGTAATTGGCAAAGTTTCATTCGATGGTCAGTTGAAATAGAGACTAGAATTTACGATTGGCCCAATTATAAAAGAATCTGGGCCAACTTCGAGCAGCCCAAGGGCCTTCACATATTTCAAATAAAAGAGGTTCAATTAAAGGAACAAATTAAAAAAATAAAAAAACCTCCAACTCATCAACTGCCCATGCCACATTAATGGGTGGTTTATACACACGGTTGTACGATGCGCATCGTACACACGCCCCAAAACGACACCCCTTAATAAGTGAAACGAAAAATAGTAATTCATGGTTAAAAAGGCGGAAAGAACATCAGTAACAATGCAAAGAACATGTGGATTTTAAAGAACATTACGATGGAAACAAAGAACGCGTGAAATAAGGAGGTAATTTTGGGTAGTTACGGCCCACGTGTTACTGCCCACAGTAATTGTAAAAAATTATTTGGTAAAAATAATTTTCCAAAAAATCTTTCTCTCTCTATATTCTCTCTAGAATTCTCAAAATTTCAAAACCCTAAGATTTTTCACCCATCAAATTCACAAGAATTAACCTCTAAAAATTCAAAATTTGTGCAATCAACTAAAGAATTTTGATATAATGGCTGATTCTAAGGAGTTGTAAGTGGCATGCAATTGTTTTTAATTTTTTTTTCCTTTTTTGTTGGGTTTGGCGAGGAACTATCATCTTCGTAGTTCTTGATTTGTAAGTGGCTGATTCTACTACTTATTTGTTTAATTTGTTTGATTATAATTTTTTTTTTTTGGGTTTTTGAAACAATAGTATTGAACAAGAGAAGGGAAGTGAGCATGAAATTGGAGCTACGAATGAACCTCAAAACGCAGACGCAAGGGTCGAGGTTGAAGACGATGCTACTCTAAATCAGTTTCTGCAAGGTAGTGGTAAAAAACCGTACACTCCATCTGTAATTGGTCCAATTGTAGATCCCGCACTTCTAAATGAGATTGCAAAAGAAGATGATGCTTCAAAGTGAGTTAAAAAAGTTCTCTTTTTGGATTTATAGTATGTCCTTGTTTTGTTTTTTTTATGTTTTTATTTTTTAGTACTTCAATGTACTGTCAACTTCATTAAAAATGGTAGATCTGTATGGTAGGGTCAATTTTTAAAGTATTATTTAAGTGTATGTTCTCTATATGAAGGTGTTATGTTCTTTTGTTAAATCGTTGTGTACTTTTAATTTGAAAACAATTAGTATTGTTCAATTCACTTTTGATGTTCCCTAAAATTCAGCATTCTATTCTTTTTAGTAGGCATATATGTTCTTTTAGATTGAATCTATGTGTATTCCTTTTTTTATAAATTGATTGTTCTTTTTAATGCATATGCTATGTGTGTTGGTGGTTTTATGGGTTTTAGGTTGGGGTTGTGGCTGGGTAGGTATGGTGGGGTTTCGAGTTGGGTTGGGGTGAGAGGTGGAGGTGGTGGACTGGTAGGGGAGTGGTGGGTGGCTGGTTTGGTTCAAGTGCAGGGGAGTATTGCCCCTCAATGGTTTCCAAAGATAATTCCTTGAAATTCAATTGCACGTTCAAGTTATATTCCAAAGTAGTGGTTCACAAAAAATTCTATCCTAAAGCATAAAATAATTTGACACTGTGACTACATTTTAACATAGTTTACTTATAGTAATCTGATCAAAGTATGCTTTGTCATAGAATTTCATGTGATGACTTATTAATTATCAGATTAGCTTCTCTCCAAAACTTGAAATTCCACCCTAAAGTTCATAGTCAACCATTCAAGGAAGACAATATCATGGCATGTCTGCCGCTAGAATCCCAAGTCTCCTACTAAGTCTATTCCAAAGTAGAATCCCAAGTCTCCTACTAAGTCTACATGTATGTCTTGTAATGCCTATGATATATTAGTTCTTTTGTAATGCCTATGTCATGTATGTTTAGTGTTCCTTTTTATTTGGTTTTACACATAAGTTGAGTGCGTTTTTAATTGTTGTATAAATATTTTTAGGAATTTAGATGTTCAACCATTGGAAGTGAAGGATGAAAAGGCAGAACAACAACATGAGGAGAAAGGTTCAAAGAAGAAGAAAGACTATCATTTCAAACAAATTGCTACTAAAAAAAAGGTGTGTAGAATGTATATAATTTTCTTTTTAATAGGTTTGTATGTTTTTTTTATTTTATGACATGTTCTTTATGATTTCATGCACATATCAAATATATTTAAAACATATGTGTTCTTTTGTTTTTGTTCTTAATATTACAGGAAGAAAGTTGTTGAGCATACCACTGAAGAAAAAAGGCAAACTGTTCAACAGGAAGGAAAAATAATGCTGAAAAAGAGGAGGGCTCCATTGGGAGAGCCTTACTTTCCAGTCAAGGAGAAGCCTGAAGCTGGTGCTGCTCAATCAGCTTCACAATCTAAGGCTCAAAGTACAATAGGTGGAAGTGTCAAAGGACATTCCAAGAAAGAACAATAAGGATAAAGGACTTGTTGTTAGAGAGAAAAAAAACTGATGTAGCTGAAGTGGATGTGGGTGAACAAGGAGAAATAAAGGAGGAATTTACAACATCCCAAAGGCACACTGTACAACCTTTGCTGAATCTAATAAGGGGATTGGAGGAACAAGAAGAGAAGCTGCAGGCTATAAGAGATATGGGATTTGGAGGTATACTACACCTTGATATGCCTAGGAGCTCCCCTAATTTTAATGCCACATTAGTTCTGAATGTGGATGCTAATGAGGTGTGCATTGTATGTGCTAGAAATAGGACAATAGACATCAAACCTGTTGATGTTCATTTGGTGTATGGTTTACCTATGGGAGGGAAAGTGATAGTTGAGGCTGCAAATGAGAATGAGGAGATGGTGATGGTGATGAGAGAATTGAAAGCTTATCATGGTGGTGGTGGAATTCCAAAATTCTCGGCTTTGGTTGATGACTTGTTGGAACCAAACAACCCACCAGATGATAGATGGAAGAGGAGTTTTTTATTGCTAGTGGTGAATTGCTGCATTAAGTCTGTGGCTAACACACAACCCTTATTCAAGTAATGTTCTTTATTCC